CAAGCATACACGTACACACATTTCTGAAATACTGAAAATCACCTAATCTTTTCAGTAGACGTTGCTACAGTTCCTTTTACTCTATTTTTTTTTTCTTGTAGGCTCTGTAATTTTTATGTTTTAAAAATTTAGGAGAGAAATCATATGTTCTTGAATGTTTTATTTAGGACATTTTACCAAGGCAGAATTTGCATATTTAAGAAGAGTCTGGCTAGTCTGTGTGAGCTGGGCTCCATCCTTCTGCTTATTCAATGATCATATGAGCCATATGAKTTTAAATGTTGAGAAACTCAATTATGAGGTGTTTCCTTCTTTTATAAGGAAGCATAAAGAGAAAATACTATGCTGTTTTTGGGAGAAAACAGAAGGATTGGAGAGAAAAGAAGAGRGAAGAAGAAAAATAAATGCCATGAACTGACAGCAAGATTAATGAGAAGAAATGAAACTTTAGCCTTGTCTGGCACAGATGGTTTTTTTCTTTCCCACCACAAACACACATGAAAACTTTATGTGCTTTTACTTATAGTTACTTTGTGTGGCTTAAATTCTTGAACTAAGTATGAATCAGGTGTTAACTTGGCTGGGGAGATGTCCTTTACTTGTAGCTTGGTTGCYTTTTTCTTTTTTTCTCTCAAATCATCAAGTAAAAACCTTCTAGTGTTATTGGACTGGGTTCATACAAAGGTAGGCTGCTTCGTCAACCTACCATGCACCCCTCAGTCCTAATCCTGATTACATTTGCCTTAGTTGATCTCTCTGAAACCAGCCCACTTCAATGTCCTTATATGCTTGCATACTTCAGTGGCAAAACAAAAAAAACAAACCACTGAAGTGCTGTTGTCCTTACTTCTGTTTTCAGTAAAACCGCAAATATGTGAAAAGGAAATATTTTATCATATAAGTTTTRCAATCCAGTAAGTTAATGACAATTCAGAGATTTCTAAGTTGTTCTCCTACTTGCTACTATTTTGATCAGCTGCACATTGAAATATAGGGAGAATTTTCTGTAGACATTTTACTGTGAGCAGTTTTGGAATGTAACRTAACTTTCTGTTGTGAGAGGAAGTRTCTATAACAGGCAAAACAGCAATTCTCTGACATCCCAGAACTGCTGATTTACCTTTTGCCTAAATGACAGCCTGTTGCCGCGGGTGAAAAATAAATGTTTGCACTCCCCAAAAAGTGTGAGCAATGTTGTCAGTCTCTGAGGAACAGGGTCTGATTGCCTGTGTGGTCACAGCAGCTTTCATCACCAATGGATCTAGCTGTCAACTGGAACTGCTGTGGTATAAAGGAGTAATAGTAATAACGGTAATGCAAGTCCAGCCTTGATTGCAACGGGGGAGATCCCAAGCAAGGAAAATTAGTGCAGCTCTCAGGGCACAGCACAGGGAATTTAATGCAGTGCCTCTGGGCCTGTTGTGAGCATGGAGAACAGGCACTATTTCAGTGTGGTTTTCAGTTCTATTTTGTGCACTCTTGATTTTTTGTCAGGATAGAAGTTCAGGGTGGGTATACAGCTCATTCCAGCAGTACCCACTGTCCTCATGGCTGGCTGGCTACCACCCTACCATCTTTCTGGAAGAAACWACTTAATGACTCTCTTCACTTGACCTGTACTAAGAAAGGGAGGGCTTTTTGTGTATTGCTTCTTTGACCACTGTTGGCAGATACTAGTAGAGAATTGGGGGGAAAAAACACATAACTAAGATAAAAAAAATATTTGTTCCATTTTTTTGGTAGTCTTATATACTGACATTCAGATACACTGCATGAATGAGAGCAGGCCAACATTTACAAACAACCATTAAAAGGAGTCTTTGCTTTGGCCTGTAGCAAAAGAATGCTGAGGGATTTCCATTGCCTTTCTGTTAAGCTCAATTGGCAGTTCATCTCCTAAACTTTTCTGCTTCTATAGAACAAACTTCTTTTTAAAGAAGCTCTGATGGGAATTTGAAGAAGTCTTTTGACCTGTTAGTTGCTCAGATGGCACTTATTGCTGCAACTGCATTTTGAAATTTCTTGATGATTCTTTGAGGAGGAGAGCTCTGGCCCTTCTTATTAGTCCCTCTTAACTCTGAAATAGGGCCTGTGGTTTTGTCATGGTTCATCCTRGTAGGCTRTACTWCTTMCTGCCTTGATTATAGCCATTTTAACAGCAGCTAGAGGGRGAGAAAGATGCTTCTCTCACAAGTAAGGAGCACAGACAAAGTTACATTATCAAAGATTTTGGGTTGACAAGTCCAAGAGCAGATGTAGAAGATTTTAACTGTRTTTTTTKKTTTAAAAAAAAWGAAAAACAAAAAWGAAAAASAAAAATGTCTTTGAGAAATTCAGGCAAGATATGYTAAAACCAATTGAATAAATAATGCAGTCCTCTCATGAAACTAATTTAACATTATAATAAGACGAACAGTAATTTAAGACATAAACATCTGCTGTGACACAGTATAGGAAGTACAAAAAAAGGAGACAAAATATAAGACCCCTCAGTGGTAGTTCCTTACAACTTGATCCTTGTCTAGCACAAATTGAATGTGGAATGTCCCTGGTGACTGAAGAGAATTTGTGAAATAAAGTGGAAACTTATTAAATAAAATAAACTGTAGCTGACACGGCAGACAAAATAGTGAGACAAATTTCAGCGGGAGCCAAAAGGAAAAGAGCGGATATAGCTTCTTGACGTTGGGCTAGCCTTGGTAAACTCTGCCTGGGTAAATTCCAAATGATGGAAACTGTAATAGAATCAATTTCTYCTTGTAGTTTAAATGTGTCTATGATCAAAGTTCCACAGATGCTTTGCAAACACAGAAATTGGAATATACATTTTAATTTATTTTCTAAGCTATGAAGGGTTTTAGTTAAAGTTTAAAATCTATGATCCTTTTGTGACACCSTCTCTGAATCCTTGGGGAACAGATTTTTTTACCATAATCATRAACGTATGGGTTTTAATTAAAATCGAATGTAACACAAATCCTCACAGGCTAAAAGACAGCAAAGATGGCCTTTAATAACAAAGWTAAATTTGGGGAAAATAAATAGAAATTTTTGCCTAATGAGATTGAAGAGCTTGGGTTACCAATCACTGATCCTGAGGAGTAATAGCAACACCTGAGTAACTGAGGATATAACTGACTTTTCTAAACAAGGTCCAGAATTATGTAGCATCACTGGACTGTTCAAGGAGCTGACAAAGCATGGACCTATTTATAAGTGTATTGTAGAAATGCCTATATTTTTCATGTGTATATTGCATGTGCCTGACTCTCGCATTTTGTGAAAATGCAATATTATCCATGCGGGGAGATAATTAGGGTGTGAAGGAACTCAAGGGAGAAGAGCCTTGTACTGGACCAGGTACACTGTCTGAAGTTGTGCAAAGTCTAGAGGAAGGGTGGGTTATAGTGCACAGTTCCTCTTTGTGCCACAAAAAATGAATTGCCTAAGTTCAGATCTTAGAGGGAAGTTCTCAGCTCCCAGAGGGTCTTATCAAAAAAATCCTGTCTCTCCCTCTGAGCTTAAATTTAGGAAGTCAAGAGAATATCAAAGTGTTCAAATTATGAAAAAAGTTTCATATTCTGTGCTTTTTTTTTTAATTACCTAGTATTTGCTGGGTTACTTTTGCTATTCTATTTTAAACTGATTATTCTCTTACAAGTTATAGTTTCTTGCCATATTACCTGCATTTATAATTAGTTTAAAATTTTACTAAGCAAATCAAGTCTGAAYTAGGAGCAGATCTATAAAGCCAGAAATAAGTAGATAAGGGCAAATTATGTAGGTAACTTACCTGCCCTTTGTATTGAAGTCCGTGATGCCAGGTACTTTCTCACACAAATTCATGTTATTGATGTCCCGCTGAGATACGGTGAGTAGAAGAAATGGACTTGTGGCTGCAAACATCAGGCAAGATTGTATTCCTAGCAGAAAAAGGTGTTTGCTAACCTTTAATCTAAAATTAAATAACAGATTGAGAAAACCTCTATGTGCATACAGGAATTAGCATAGGATAACAGTATTTAAAACTAACCATTATTAAGTTTCCTGAATTTGTCYTGTACTAACAATGTACCACTTAAGAGACATCTTAACACAAAACATTCAGAAATAGCAATATTATGGAAGATCTGGCAACTGAAATCCCAATTTACTTTGAATCATTTTTATCTAGAAATTAATGACTTGGTGTGCACTTACTAATATGTTACTTTACTGAGTGAAATGTATGTAAAATTAACTCTTAGACTGATTAGAACAGAAAAATCTTACTATGATTAAAACCAATGGTATCAGTCATCAAATGTCTGGAATTTGCTATTTTCTTTATGCAAGTTAAACAGCTATTTTGTATTTGAATTTTGTTACATAAAATATAAAAGAAAATAATTTCTTTAAATGCAGAGTATGATCTTTGATGGGTCATTTCTACAGAATTTAGTTTTGCTGCCCAGAAATGGAAATTGGGCTATATTTAGTTTTATAAATTTATCAGCTAGTGGTATCTCAGTTTCTTCTATACCCAAGAATAAGTAATGACCAATTAGATAAAATCATGCAGCTTTAGTATTGTTCATTATCCACACCGGAGCCAAGTGTCCRTGCTCCTGTGATAAAATTAGCATCTCTGATACTCCACTGTGACCACAAGCAGAGAAAGGCAGTAGGTAGCAAAAGCGGAACTGCTAAGCATGCCCACATAAGAATGTCACACTTAGGTAACAGAGTGTCCCTCAGGTCAGCCTATGATAAGAGCGAAGTCAAACAAGGCTGAATCCTTGATGTTTTGTGTTTTAAGTATCTGAAAATTGTTCACGACCAGCCTCGACCTACAAGACCTCAAATGATCATATGAGCAAGGCAATAAATCGGTGGTAACTTGCCCTGGGGCCCATGCTGTAGTTGYGATGTTGTGAAAGTTACATCTAGTGTTAGCCTGTCCACATAGATCTGCCTACTTTTTCAGGATTCTCAGACAGGAAAATTTTMTATTTACTTGTACCGAAGGGGAGACTATGGTGGCTGAATGGGCATGGCTGAAAGGTTCTACATCGTATCAGTGCAGTCCAGTGGAGATGCACRGGAATACCACAGCATCAGGAGAGCTGGGGAACCACTTGCTTTCCAAAACTCCACACCTGAGCAAGATTTTGGCACAGCCAACWGTTCGTACCCCTGCAGTATTTGCCAAACATCCAGGACGTGGCCTCCTGTTGTGGGACAGATTGATTCACCTTCCTGACAGAAATCAGAAATGGAACGTAGTGGGCGTAACAGAAAATCGTTTCTGTAGGAAAAGACACTTCAAAAATTATGATATCCAGAGGAATGGACAGCAGCTTTCGCAATGCCTACATGCTTCAACTTGGACTAGTACAATTTTACAGCCAGGCCATACAAAAGCAAATTTTCAAATCATGCCAAGTGCCCAGGAATACCAAAAAGAAGAAAAAAGGTGTAAAGGTAACTGACGTTATCATGCAGTGCTCAGCAAAAGCTGTATTTAGAAAAAAAAAACCAGAACAAAGCAAAACCAGGTTATGTCTTTGTTGTCAGGGATTTGGCCATTGGTAAAAGCATTATTATGTGGGGATGTTTTCTTGCTACCAACCTTTTAAWWTTTTTTTTAATCAGGGTAATTGTGGTTTTTTGTTTACTCTTCTATTTAATTTAATAGCTTTKTGAAGAGCCCTTATGAAAATGTGATGAGTACTTACTAGGGTTTTCTGTTACCTAATTCTGATACCTAATACAAAATAATATCTCTTATTTTAGAGCTTTAAAAAATATTTGTCTCTCTYTTTATGATCTTAACAAGCTGATCAAAAATCTTTTCTGAACCTGGCTTTTTTTTTTAATAAAGCATATCTCTGATACATTAAAAATGCAATGACAAAAGAAAGCATTCTTTTTTACTTTCAGGGTGTTCAGCCCTCACCTGAGGCTATGTTGTTTGCCTKCTTTCTTATTATTAACCACATCCAAACCCTCAGTAAGTGCATGTACAGCACTCAAGTGGGACTTCTTRTTAGGAATATTCTTTGCCTAACTAGTCAGGAGAATAAACCATTTGCTCTCAGGTAGGTTGTTTTGTTCACATCAGCACAGCATTGAAGGAATTTAAGAATCACAGTTGCTTAGTATGTAGTGATTAAGTTATTCTTATTCCTTTTKAAACTTGGATAAGTAGTTCTTCATTGCTCTTTGCCTAAAAAAATAATTACCGTATATTGGGAGGGGGGGATTACAAGTTGTTTTCTTTTACTTAAGTCTTGCGTCACTCCAGGAAGAAAGATTACAGTGTCAGGCAGGATATCACCTCATGAAAAAGTTAAACTGGTCTAAGTACCTGATTTCTTTAGATTTAGTTGTGCTTTACCTCAGAATGCCTCTTTGCTAACAGATGTCAGGTGTTGATCGCTTTAACGTCTTACTAAGGGCTGTCAGGAGGCTGCCAAACCCAGACAGTCCCATCCAGGAGCCTATTAATTATGTTATGTCAAGCTAAATTAGCTTGCTTTCTGCTTAGTTTTATTTTTGAACAAATGAAACTTCTTACCTTGATGTTTYGATATAAAGTTGAGGCAGAGAATGACTCAGAAAAGGTACATGTTTTAAGTATTGGCCATTACTTTCTCAAGAGATAAGCTCTGTAATTAACTGATGTCTGCTAACAGGGTCTTCCAATTATGATAYATGGGGAGGCTTAACAAATTGGGTTGTCTGGGTCACAAGTCTATAATTACTCTTCGTAATATTTGTTCAGGGGCCATCTTAAAAGTTGTCCAACACCATTCAAGAATTTTGTTAGCCCCTATGTTGGCCGAAGTCTCAAGGAGCAGACACTTTCTGATGAGACCGTGTGCTGCCTACCCATGTCGTGAATAGTGCAAGGAAAAGCAAGCACAAGCCCTGGAGGAGTCCCGATCAGGAAAGAGCAAGCTCCATTCTCTTTAAGCCAAATTTATTCAAAGTGTTGAAAATATTTTGAGGGATAACTGGAATTGTAGTGAATCTGAACATTTAAATATAAACTATGACATTCTTTGTTATCCTAGCAGACTAATGAGTCTGAAGTATTTCAATAAAAGGCACATCACACTGGCATTTTATGAGTCACAGACAAATTTAGTGTCATGTCATAACCGAGTTAGTGTGGATTTTGTGAGACAAGCAGTTTTAGAGAAATAACTTACTTGGTATATGTGAAGAAAGGAGGTGTGCTGTTGCCTAAGTAAGGCTTTCATCTGGTTTATACCTCAGGCAGCTAGTTTCAATCTTGCTGYATCTGTCACAAACCCAAATAATTTATTTTATGTCAGACAAATTTCACTTTTTTTCCAACTGCTATGAGTGTAGCATAGACACAATGATGATTTTCAATGTCCTATATTCCACTGAGACATTTTCCAGGAACTGTCACATTCTGTTGGAACTTTTCAGTACTGGAATTCCATAATCCTACCTAATTTGTGATTTAGTCACAAGTAGAGTTTTAAAAATAAGGTAAACACCATAAAGAATTAATTTGTAAGAATTGATTAAGCAGTCTTACTAATGCTTGTTGTTATTTTGGATTCTGATGTTTGAKGTTTTCTTAGTTTGGTCTCTGACAATATGTTTGCATAGTCATACTTTTTTGAGGGACCATTTTGAATCTTTGATCATAGAGTGTAAAGCGAGTGAATGAGTTGGTGGAAATACATTAAAGAGAGATGATAACTCATTATGCGGACWTAGAGATAGCTGTATTTGACAACTTACATGTGATGTAAAAGCGACATAAGTAGTTTTGCTCAAAAGCTGTTACAGTTTTCAGTATATTTTTTCTTATGGTATGGAAAAATCTGTCTGGGATGTGACTGATGTTATGAAAGTGCAGATTTGTAATTGCTCAGAAAAGCAGTGATCTAATTTTTTTTCCCAAAACCATGAGAGGTGGCCGAGATAATTCAGGCAACAACAATAAAATATATAAATAGGAAATAAAACATTTATTTTGTAACATGTAAAAATTTTTAATATAAAGCTAGGAGTTGATAATACAGACATACAAAACTGTGAGGAGTTCAGAACAATATGTTTAAACTTTGCAATTATATGTTTAAATGTGCAACATTTTTTTACCAAATACTGAATTTTTATTCATCTTTATGCATGAAGTCTGAGCAACAATCAACATAAGATCTTTCCCATTTGGTCCTTTAGAAGCAGCACTCTGCCCTGACTGATTTGAATGCTCTGCAATGCATCCCATGTACCGAYGCTGCCGAATCTTTTAGAACTAGCATGCAGGGGCCCTGTCTGCAGCACTGTGATACCCAGGACTCTAGATCAGGGGTGCATGGTTTGGAAGAAGTYAGGAGAATAGGACTCTTTCAGGTAATATGCCACAGCAGAGTAAATTGCACTGAATGATAACTACTTTTCTGTGTCAGGGACCTCTATTGGTTGGGCTATAGAGGATCATCCACAGGATTTTTGTCTTTCCTTAACATTTCTGTGGGTTCATTTTGATGGATTCTGTAACTAAGCTAAGTCACAAGAAAAGTGCAGCTTAATGGAGGTATGTCATTGTTTGTAATTAAAATTCTTAGTCATAATTTGTACAACAGGAGTCAATGAAGAGCTGAATGGTGTAGTGTAAGGTGGTCTCTTCTGGAGACTCCCCCTTTCAGGCATTCTCARCGTGATTTCTGCATACTCAGTTAATATCACTGACTGCACTACTCTTGCTTCTGATTTGCACTAGACTGAGTACATTAAAACCTTTAAGCCATTTCAGGCGCAATTCAGGCATTACAACAAGTAATTTCTGCCTTTTTTAGAACAATGAACTAAGGCATCAGACTGTGAGAGGATCCTCTCCTGTTACAATATCAAAGTTTCTGCTTTATCAGTGGCCTGTTTGCTTGAATTGAAGGGTTTATTCTGACGATGATTAACTTCCATGTGTTCACATCGTCAGACACTTGTGAACTAATAAAATTCCAAGTGTGATACTACATTGCTGGAGGCAACGAAAACTCAAYATGACATGATGTGAAGACTAATACTCAATTCGGAATACAAGACAAACTKTTAATATTATTCTACTCCAATTTCAGAGTTTTGATAAAGATGCTGTCTGACTGTCTTGTATCAGACAATTTAATTCAAAGGCATACATGAAATAAACCTACGGGATTGGACCTTAAAAGACTAAAATTAAAATATTTTTTGAATATTTCCATTTTTTAAATATTTGCAATGTTCTTTGAATTGATTTGTTTCCAAGGGAACAACAATCTGCTGTACTATAAACCTCTTTAATATTAGTATATCACAGGTAAGGAACCCACATTCCCTGGCAATGTTTATAATTTTTTTTTGTTTTGGTAAAGTCTTCCATTTTTTGTTTTCTCCTCATCCTTCACAGTTTCATGTAATTTAATTTCCTTGCAGTGTTACAGCAGCTCTTGACAAAAATAGTATGTATGACATTTCTAAGCATTATTGACATAGCAATAGAAAATAAGAAATGTTTGAGGAATTTATTTTGGAACAGAAAGTAAGCCACAGGCTGTGCCATGTTGAAATACCACTTCCTCAGATGCCATCCTGACAGGAGCAGTCCTGTCTAACCAAGGTTTCAATTCTGTTTAGTTTTTCAGTAACAAACCTAAATACATCAGAGGGGCAAAAAACAAGAGAAGAAGAAAGTCATGGGAATTTTGACTTAGTTGGCAAAGCAAATCCTATGTRGGAAAAATTCCCACTAAGAATTTTAAGCCTAGTTCTCCAAAACTTTTCTGGGTGGTGTAAAAGTATCTAGGTATTCTGCTCTGTTAACCTGTAAAACAGAGCCCMACCTCTCAGAGCTCTACATACATTTCTCTTGGCAGGGGATCTTTTTGTGGCCAATGAACAACCCAGGTACTGTACTTGGGAATGTTTTATTGGGAGTGTGGAGAAGTAAGTTCGGCAAGGTCTRTGTGTTACGTACACTATGGTTTACCAACCCATCACCTCAGCAGGAATAGTTTGGGGATTTCAGTGTAAACAACTATTGAAGAATTTCATATGAAACACAGGCACTTTTTATGATCCAGTCTCGAAAAATGAGATCCTGCATGAGACATGCTTTTTATCRCAGACAAAGTCACTGTTTATAAAATCTAGATAATGAGCCTGAACTGAAATGAAAATTTACTTTTGTTTGCTTTTTTACACTGTATTTTTCAATGGTATTTGTTSAGTTAGGTAAGGGTAAATGAAAGAGGATTCATTAGGGTTTTACTTGTTAGAYTTCAGTAACTGTTAGTGCTCTTAATGAAATAAAATGTTTGTTTAAATTRTTAGAGTTTTAGCAGAATAAGGTCATTTTGGAGACAAGGTTATTGACATCAGTAGCATTGGTCTCAATAGAGTTCAGCTTGACTTACCAAATGTATTATTATTTTATGAGCAAGTTAATAAGAAAT